AATTCCACTTGTGTTGGCATGTGACTTAGAGGGACGAGAGAGCTGTAATGATTTTTACTGAGTTCCTCACTCCCACTCAGCATTAAGAGTACAACTTTGACCAGAGTCCTTTGCTGAGCTAACGAGCCTCAAGAACAAAGATGGCGTTGCAGATGAACATTTCGGGCTTACGCCGTAATATGAAAAATATTGCTCATAATTATACAGATGCACAGGTAAGTGATCTTGTTTAGGGATTAGGTAGAGGCTCATGGGGAAGATATGAGCTTTTGTGATTTTTGTTCTTTTGCAGTGTAGGTCATGTTGTGCATAGAATGTTTGTCTTTCTTCAGTCTGATAGCTATTCTTAATTAGAATATCTAATTATCTATTTATTGTCATATGTTTGTTATTTGCTGTTATGTATACATGAGAGAAAAGTTTTTGTTAAGTAGGCTTAAACCTTCATATTTACAGGCATTTTGAGTCAATGGGGATTTTCCTGCATTGAACTCTACAGTTTTGAGAATGTGTTTATTGATGTCATTTCACTTGTTTGCTTGAAAGGCTTAGGACAGCTTTACTGATAAGTTATTTTTTTGTGGTTATAAAAGAAGTGAATAGATAATATACTTAAAAAGTAAGTCCCAAAAACTAAGTTGCTAAACTATTTGGAATTTGGTGTAAAGTGAATATTGCCTTCAGCATCTTATTATTTTGTATTGCAAAAATCTTTGGTCACTGGACAGAGTTACTGGAGTCTGGCAGGAGGCTAAAAATTTGTAAGTACCTCTTTACATAATTTCTAATGACTAATTTATATAAATAGAAATACCTCAATTTTTCCTGATACACAACAACCTAGAGACTTCCGTAATCAGTTTTACTACAGTACATTTTTCTCTGCTGTGCAGTCTTAGCTTGTTGATTACCTCGCATATGAGAAGGAGTTAGATTAAATAGTGTGATTTTTTTTATATTCAGATTTTACTCTATACTGTCTAGTCCCATGCATTAGGTAGACAATATCATGATGTGGCTCTTTTTTAATTGCTAATTGCATGGCACACTAAAGGTTTCTCCTTTTAATGGGATGTTATAGAGGTGATATTTTGAGATCCATTCAGTACATCAATTTACTCTTTCCAGATAAAAGTAAGAGAAGCAACGAGCAATGATCCTTGGGGTCCCTCGTCCACCCTCATGTCCGAAGTGGCCGATCTCACCTACAACGTGGTGGCCTTCTCAGAAATCATGCAGATGATCTGGAAACGCCTCAACGACCACGGGAGAAACTGGAGACACGTGTACAAAGCGCTCGTCCTCTTAGAATATCTCATAAAGACTGGCAGTGAAAAGGTGGGTGGAAAATGCCTCGTTGATAAGTGCATGACTTAATTGTAGATTGATTAAGGTTTACAGATAGATCGTTGATAGTGTTGAGGGAATTTTTTTTCATAGTTTAGGTTAGTTGAAGCTTTTAGTTTTCTAGGAAAAAGAAAGTTCTGGATTCTTCTTATTTTATATATTAACCCATTGCCACCAGGGAAAATGAATAAAAAATGAGGGAAATTCTGTGCTCATTTTTTATATTTTTGTGAAATATCCCTGTTACTAGATGGCTGTGCTAGTGCTTAGCCATAAAGGATTTCACCTTTCCTTGAATTGGCATGAAAAATTATTTCTATTATTGCTATAAACGTAGATGGTGTTATTATTATTATAAACATTATAATTACAATAATATAAACATTTGTAACATCAAAATGAGATAACGTTCACCCTTTATGAAAAGGGTGAACGGGCGAGACAGGTGGTACTCATAACTGGCTCATTGGTTAGTACAAGTGTAGCCATCTATGCGTCAAAACAATTAAACAAGTAAACTCACAAGGGGCATGGCATGTACGTACATGCCATGCCGTCGGCAAAGGGTTAAGAAGAGGATATCTGATAGGGATGGAAATTAATCACGATAAAGATATAGGGCTTTATGAATATTGTTTTTGCTGGAAACCATTAATTTTTATTTTTTAGTCTCTCAAATTAAAAGTTGTCGATATATATGTGCATTTTGGAATTTTTAGAGGAAAGAGACTTTGAATGATTACCACTTGAACAGAGTATATAGATATTTTATACTTATTTTCTCTCTCTCTCTTTCTTAGGTTGCAGATCAATGTAAGGAAAACATCTTTGCCATTCAGACATTGAAGGACTTCCAGTACATTGAAGAAAACAAAGATCAGGGAATGAGTGTGAGGGAAAAGGCTAAAGCTCTTGTCACACTTCTAAAGGTAAGGTATTTAGGGTGTGCCATATATATATACACCATAGATTTCATAGTGCTGTTTCTTGATTAAATAATTTGATTGTTCAGAAAATTAGGAAGGAGAAAGAGTGATACCACGAGCTTTGAATATAACATATTTGTTATGTTTCTGATTGTTGATTGAATTGAATTGTTGATAATGCTATCCTCATCAGAAATATGTAGTGAACATTTGTAGTCAGAGCCATAACTAGTTTCTGATACCTTGCAAAAATTGTTTTATATTCAAACATTTTCTTTGTAATCAATTCTGAAGTTTATCTGTATTTTAATAATGTAATCTGTTCAGGCCAAAGAGAGCAAACTGTGATCTTTTCTCTTGCCTTTCAGGACGACGAGCGGCTTCGGAACGAGAGAGTGAGAGCTCTGAAGGCCAAAGAGAGGTTTGCCCAGAGTGTATCAGGCATTGGAAGCGACAGTGTAAGTTGCGGCAGAGACAAGCTGAAATATTTCTCATTTATTTATTTTCTTCTTTTAATGGTCGAGCTAAACTTTTAACATTGCAAACTGGTGCCGTCCAGACACGTTTATCTAAGTAAATGATCTCTTTTCTTTGCTCTGTCATTGCGTGTGATTTTTAAATGTGCAGTCCTGAGCTTTTAATAGAGGCTGCAGGGAAAGCCTAGAATTCTAAACTAGTTTCCTAATATGGTTTTAAAAGATATGGATAAGGAATATATGTGTGGTAAAGGTATGGGTGCAATACCCTGAATGCACATGTATATATCTGTATTATACATAAATCTATATAGATAGGATGGGGACCTTGGAAGGTATCACATCTAAACTATGAGGCACCTTGGTAAATGTCACAGAGAATGGGATTTTTAACTTTCTGGTGCAGGTATTGAGGTCAGCTCACACCAAGAATGGGGCTAGATATCAGAATTTTTCATAAAAAAAAAAAAAAAAAATCATTTCCTTTGTTTCTAGAACTCCCATTTCTTAAGAGAATAGTAATTGTGCAGATTCATTTATCCATACAGAAAACAACTTGATTCTTGTTTTTTATACTCCATGTATTTTAGTCAAATGTAGTGACAGTCTCAAGGATGCCTAATTGAAAAATTCTGATTTTTCAGTGTGAGCAGATTAAAATGTTACAAAGGAAATAGGTGTCCTAACTTGTGCACATGTGAGGAAATTAGATTTTTTTATTTGTTTCTTCTTGATTTTACCACTGTCAAGAATAAAGCTTTTAACAGAATTGATTAACCACTAATTTCACTCTTTTAAAATTCACATTGTTCTTATAGAGAGTACTCTTAACGGCTTTGTTGATTTACTCACGATATCACGCTTGCTTCACACCTCCATTCACCAAACAGCACAAGTTTTAAACAGACATAGGAAGCCAAAGCTGTACCATGCCAAAATTCTCTCTGAGTTTATTTGTTCCTAGAATTATTTGTATTTCTGTACATTCACTTATTTGACTGTTCTTACGTTTTTTTGTTATTATTATTATTATTTTGACTGGTCTATATGTGCATGCTTATTTTATCCCCCTCATTGCGACAGGGTAATCCTAGAGACCGACGATACGCAGAGGAGTTGACTATTGTCTGTGATGGTGATCAGGTTCGATCGTAGTTATCTTTCAGTTGGTAGTCTTACCCTTTATGCAGTTGATGGTTATATAGTTCATTTCATCATGGCTATTAGTACAATAGCTGACGATGGTAATTAAGCTATAATTTCCAATAGGGCTTATTGTGTGATAGTTTAATACGTTGGTTGGTAATTGGTAGTGTTGTTTGGTAAAAGTTATTGCTATTTTAAATCAATATTGCAGTTATTTTTAGTATTGATAATGTTTCTATCCCAAATGTAATAGGGAGCAAATTTTTTTTGTGTTTATGAAATCTCAGAATAGGTAGCAAGGGAATATTTTTATTAAAGATTTCCAAGTATAGGGCAGTCATTAGTGTAAGGGAGATTTTGGTGTTGATAGCAGGTAAAGAAAGGAAATATTTATATATTAGGGCTATCAAGAATTTATTTGTTTCTTCTCCTAATGGCATTTGCCTAGCATGCATGTGTACAGTTGACACACAAAAGTTAGCTTTGTCCACAGCCTTAAAGAATTATTGGCCAAATAGTCCTTTCATTTTCACAAATTTTGCTGACGCTGCAAATGCTTTTGCACATTTGTACACAGTCTATTATACACAAAGCAGCACTTGAATCCTGAAAATAGGAAATTAGAAGAGGAATGACAATCAGTATTGTATCTCAAGTTCTAAAGTAACTTCTAGGTTCAATTTCAAGGGAAAAGGGAGGAAAATGAGAACAAGAGGGAGATGTGGAAATACTGACTTTGCAGATGTTCTTCAAGAAGGAGAGATGACTTGATTGATGGAGTTAAATTCATGCTGTTTTTTGTGGTTTTAGGCTCATAATGTTTTTATAGGGTTTTAGGTCATGAGAAAGATAACCACATAAGAGAGGGTAACACTGAGGGCTTCAGTGACATTTAGATAAATACTGTCATTTTAAGGAAAGGAGTTAAAATATTACACATGAGATTTACTTGTGCTGTTTTACATTTTTCAAGTGGAGAAGGAAGTTCGTCCTTTTTATGCTGTTTGGTAACAAAGATTTGTCATTAAATCTATGATTCATCAACTTTGGAAAGAAGCTAGTGTGAAGTATGGCGTAGCTGAGTACTTTGTCATTTGTGTGAGCCGATTGCTTTTCCCCCTTACAGTTGTTTAAAAACTACTTTTGTTCTGCTGATTTATAGTATGTTCTTAACTCTCCTGTGCTTTCACTCTTACTTTCCCAAAGAAGCTTGGGGATGTGTACCTATATGGAAGAGTAGGGAGAATTTTTCCAGCATTCTTGCATTTGTGAAAGCTGCCTGTTATGTTTTTGTTGAAGGCTATTCCCACTTTCCTTCACAGGACATAAGCTCTCCCACTAGTCCCTCTTACCCTGATGTAAGTATCAACTCATCTGTGTGCTTAGTAGTATGTGGATCAGCTATGACATGTAATTTGTGCTTTGACATTACAATACCGTAAGTAATTCAGCTCTAGATCTTGTTTCGTTTTCTGTTATGTAAAGAGAAATTAAAATTTTAATTATGTATATAGATATATAGATATTTTTTTCAAAAGAATGTTATGTTGAAAGGAAAAGGTAATTGTTGTCAGAGATTACACATATATGGTTGGCAGATCCACGATAAAACACTGTAGCAGACTGCATGTTAGATATTAAGCAACTCTCAGCATGATTGATATTTGTGATACATGACAAATTTTTTTGAGAAATATGACAAAGATGATTTTTTGTAAAGATAGATTTATGACAAAATTATTCTACTTTCTTTTGTCACTGGATCTGTCTTGCTTTTACTACTCCTAAGGTTATTATTATTAAATATGTTAGATGAAAAATTAAAGAGAAACATGAAAGTAAACATATTTCTTTGTTCTAAGGTATTAAAATTTGTATATTTCCTCCTTTTCACACTCATAAATAAGATTTACATATTTATATATATAAACACATGCACATATACATTATACATGGAAGTGGATGTAATGTATTTGTTCATATGTATATATATATTGGTATTTGTTTATCCATCTTTCTCTTTGACTGTGCTGTGCTCCTCTCCTCTTCAGTCTTTCTCTAGTTTTCCTGTTAATAATATTTTCTTTCTTCAATTTTCACCCTTTCCTTTTTTTTTTTTCCTTTTTTTTTCAAAGTTTTTATTTTTTTCCTTTTTCCATTCTAACATGAAATGTGTAATGATTTTCATTGTGATAAGTTGACCATCAGTTGTGTAGGGTCTTTGTTATATATAGTATTGTAACTTTGCAAATGCAACTTATTACCATTTTGCTATTTTTTAAAGTTATTTTGTTATCATGAATGGGGATGAGTTTACAGTAAAGGTATATTTCTGGGCATTAATCTATCTGAGACAGTATTAGAAATCTCTTGGCGACATAGACTCCAGTGATTTCTGGCAACCATTCTGCCACTGGGAGCGGAGTCCACTGTAGGGGAACTTGACGCGCTCTAGGACATCACCACATCAAGCAGTTTGTTATGATGGCTATACCTGTGACCTAGCAGTAATGGGTTAAATTTAATAGTATCATGTAGATGGTTTAAAAGTTTAAAGACTCCCTTTAGGAAACTTGAGTCTCTTTATTTGTCTTTGACTTTATTTGTGATGCACTGATGAGAGCAGTTGCAAAGTTTATTTCATTGATTGTGTCATGAATTAGGGCAGCATGCTGTGTAGCTTCATTTTATTCATTTATTTATTTTTTCTTTCTTTTTCTTATTTCTTGCATATGTGTCAGTGTCTTTGTCTTCCTGGAACGTCATTGCAGTGCATATTTGCATTGGTTGTCTTTTCCATTGTTGACAAGATCTTTGCTGATTTTGTGTTTTCTTTGCAGACGTATGTAACTAGTTCATCTCGCCCCAATGAAAGGAATGCCTATGGAGTACAGGATGGGCCATCAGGTCTTGAGCCACGTGAGTAGTACCAGGGTCATGGAACTGCTGTTATTTGATCCTAAGTCTTTCATTATGTTTTTTGTATATCTAATAGGGCATTGATATGGTATAGTCATCTTTTGGTAAGGATATTTGAGAGTCTGAACCTCGTGGTAAATTATTAGCTCATCAGAGGAAGAGATAGAAAAGAATCTGGTCTGTACTTGTTAAAGCTAAAGTATATAGAGTAATTGTGCTTGTGCATGTATAAAGGTGAGAGTGAGAGGAGAGAGGAAAGAAGAGGGAGGGGGGGGGAAGGGAAAAGAGAGAGAGGGGGAGGGGGAGAGGGAGAGGGAGAGGGAAAGGGAAAGGGAAAGGGAGAAAGAGTAGGTGAGAGAGAGAGAGAGAAAGATTTTTACATTCATATCTACCCAAAACAGAATTCATGTAGTTGAAATTGCACTGGGAAACTATTTGGTCAATAATGTAAGGAAATTGTCATGGCTACAACTGTTTTTGCATAAGGATATTATATTTATTAAGAGCAAAAAATATCTTTTTGCATTAGGAACATTCTTATGACTTCCTAGACCTACATTATTATTTTTCTAACATTGGCTAACTTACTTCCAAGAGGAATGCATCAATTTTTCACTAATCAAAATCAGTCTACCATGAATAAGCACTTGACACTTACTCAAGGTCACATCTTCGTAGTATATGAC